TAAAATTAATAAAAAGTAAGTATACGAGGTTGTGAATTCAATAAATGAGTACAGAAGAAAAATTTCTGTTGGAGGAGAGAGACACTTTTGAGTGGTAGTGCGTGTAATATTACAAAAATGTTAATCAATATGCTTAAGTATGTAAAAATATGAAGTGCAAGTGCACATAAAAAATGATACTCGTTCCTTCTTTTAAAAAATTAATGTACACTGTACACACCAGATCGTCTAACGATAAGATTAATAAGTTTTTTTTTAAATACGATATATCTGGCGTAACATCTGTACATGAATCAAGAAAAATATTGTCAATTTGCGGTTGTATACATGTGTAATATGTATGAGACATGAACATGACGTCCTCTAAATAGGAAAGAATGTCGTTGAGGGAAGTGAATCATTCGCGGTGAAGCGATGACAGTCGCGGATGATATCACACGTATGATTTTATTAAAATTCGGAAGGAAGATGCGCGCATGACGTAAATACACAAAAGAAAAAAAAAAAAAAGAAAAAAAAACTTAGCAATAAAATACCTAAAAACAAATTGCAATTTTTTTAATTAGACGTAACAAATTTTTAAAATTTAGCATTAAAAAATGTAAAAAGTAAAAGCCTCTAACAGTGTCTACTGAAATAAAATATTTCACGCGCTCAGAACGACATGATAAATTCAAGTTGTCAGAGGGAACCGCAAATGTTGAAGCAAGAAAAGGCGGAGACTAAAAAAAGAAGACGCATGAAGTTTTCACACATGTTCTCTTTTGCTATCCGGTAAAGCGCTTAATTCGATGTATATATGTATGTAGAGTGTCAGCGCGCGTGTATACATATGTGCCAAGAGAACAGAGAATTTGTAACACGTGTTCGTTTAATCGTAACGTTATATCCGTAAAGAGTCACTTTACTTAACTCGCTCTCCTTCGAGGTCGATAATCTCGAGACAACGAACAATTCGCACAGAAACTAAATTTCAAGTCAGTTTTAGGCCGTAGCTTCACTCATAACGAGTAAAATACAACATATAATATAGAGATAAAAATACGTAAAAATTAACAAGCTATGTGCAAATAAAAAAATGCTTATTATTTATTATTCAATTTAATTTTTTCATTGTCATTTAATTTTCAAAAATACTATTCAATTATATTATTACTGTAATAATTATAATAATTAGAGTATAATTAATCAAGATGTAAAATAAAGACAACTTCAAAATTTTCTAATAAGAGTATCATATATTTAAATAACACCATATTATAAAACAAGTATTGACTACCAATATATAATAACTGAAATTTTGCAAGCATATAAACAAAGATCTACGTATGTTTTTAGAGAAATTCTGAGATATTGTATATGCACTTCATTAATAACATCAAAATTTGAAATAAGAAAAGACACATGATTATATGTGACATTCCACTTCATCGTGCAATGTTCAATCAATATTATTCAAAAATGTGAAATAATCGATGTATAATAATTAAAGTACAGCTGCATAGTGAAGTATACTAAGGATATATAGGAGTAATAAAAATGATGAGTGAATCAAGACTGATATCGCAATAGGGGCAAGATAATGAGCGCGAGAGATAAAGTTATAGCGTAAGGGAGGGATAAAGCAACCAGACGAATGAATGAATCTCACGACTCACACATGTTCTGTCTTGCTTATTCAGTGCATCGTCTGATTTGACACGCATCGCTGACACATATCCGTTGCAATTGCGGAATACGAAATTCTCCCGATGAGACCGCAATGCGTCGTTGACTTCGTAAACTTTGTACTCATTTCCTTTGATTCTGATCTAAGACGTATTGCTTAATTCTCGCGAAAAACGTTAGAAATTTAATGCAAAAATTAAGGCCTGTATAAGTCCTAAGACATTCGTCCTGGGCTCATTTTTAAGGACTCAAAGAGCCTCTTAAAATGCGCTCTAGCAGGATGCACTACGACATATAGTTTGCTTAATTTTCACGAAAAACTGCTTTTATAGTAACTTTCTAAATAATAAAATAGGAAGCATACATGTGCAAGATGCTTAAAATAAAATAAGACAATTTAAAATTGATTTTATAAATGATTATAAAGTTTTTATTATTTAATTTTCAAATAATTTCCGCACAGCTTGCTTTTTAACATTTATTACGCACGCAAATTGCTACTGTGCAGAGAGTATTTGAAAATTTCTAAGAATATCTTATAATCGCTTATAATCGCTTATAAAATCAATTTTAAATTGCAGACATTAATATTCTGTTCTTGATAGCCTTTTAACCATATGCACGTATATGCGGTTTTATAGTGGATCAAATATTTTTCTCTTTTGGCGGATTGCATTTATTTTTTCCTTTTAAATATATCAGATGACGCTTTCTCGCCGAGGAGAAAGGAGCGAAGCGTCTCGAGCGAATTATTTGTCATTACGCAGCATATTAAGCGCCATATAAGCGCAGAAGAGAAGTCTGTACGTAAGAAAAGAGAGATGCAGATTCGAATCGCGACTCGGAGATTTCGTCATCGCAATGCACAAACGGAATACTATACGAGTCATGGACATGCATATCTCTCGGTGCAACGTGGCATACTGATATCGATACAAAGGCATGCAGAGAAGAGCCGCAACAGGTCTAATTCATCATCAAAAGCAAATCAAATCACGATATATCCAGCAAAAGAAATTATATCCGGGTAATCTGGATTTTCGCCAAATTCAATTTCTATCAAGACCAAAGGAAGATTTTAAAATATGTAAAAAACACAATCTTCCTTTATATTATGAACATTTGTTTTATCTTGAATTAGATTAATATAATATTGAATATTAAATATATACAAAAATAATTTTTAATATAATAATAATGTCACACTGAAGTCTGTATTTCAATTAAATTTTTTAAATATTTTTAAGTGACAGATAAGAATAATAAAAAGTGTCCATCGATCAAACTATCGATTGCAGAAAATAAATAATAAAAAAGTAAGATGTTAGGAGACTATCGCAAGAAAACGTTGTAAAACTTGGCACGCTTCCTCTCGGAATCTCCTATTACACAAAAAGAGCAATTAATATTCGTCGGGATCACAAAATTAACCACAACGCCAAGTCAATTTTATTATGTTACCCGACAATCTAATCATTTATAAATCATATATTGACAAGTTATTACATATTACATATTTAATATTTGCTTTTAATTAAAGTGTGTATACAGTTTCTTGTACTATTATATACACTTCTTTTTTATCTTATCTCACAAAATTCATGCGCTCAAGTATGAAAATCATAATTTTTCTTACTTCAATCAGCACTTGTATAATAATAGGTGTGAAACATAACTGATCAGACTTCAATGTACTTCAATGTACTTCAATACACAAAAATAATTATAATTATTATTGGTTTTGCGGGAATAATAGATGACTAATGCGTGAGACGAAATCTCCTTAGCCGTTCTTACTATAATTATCCTATACTAATAATAACCGTATGCTTCGCAACATTCTTTGAAATAAGCAACAGCTTACTTTCCTGTTATGGCAAAGCAACTTAATCATGAAAAACTGCAATATCCGTCACTCGATAACACTAATTAGAATCTAGAAATTATAACCCTTCTGAATTATACTCACGCTATATATATGTATATATATATATTTGTATCGAGTTATAAAATCAAGTAGAGAATAAAAGTATTCGAGATAAAAAAAAAAGCAAAAACTGGTTTTCGTCAGTATTGCTTATTACGTTTCTTCGATCAAGCATGATCTCTCACTCAGCTCCATTATATTCAGGTTTTAAATGTCTTTTCTAAAATGTAACTATCTTTAATATACGTAAATTAAAGTATCAACAAGAATTTCTAGTTTCAGAATCCTCATTGAAGTACGAACGAAATTATAAATGATTTTATTCAACGAAAGGGCATTTAATTTACGAGTCACGCACAAAATATCGTTATATAGAAGGGACAACTTTATTGAGCCTAGAAAATAATATTTATTCTGCGCGTGGTCAAAATAACCACACGAGCAAAATCTAGGGCGTCAACTTATGCGATGCTATTTACGCTATCGGCGACGCGTGTAAAAGGACGCGTGCACGCGCGCGCGTTTAAAAGTCCTTGGATGGATTTTAAAAGGAGAATCATCCATATGGAGAGAGAAGGTGCGACAGAGAGCCGTGTATTATCCCGGAGGCCGCAAGGACCGCGCTCGCTTTCGCCGCGTTGACATGCCTGGCATGCGTTTAACTGTTAACGATTCGCGATCCAGCGACTATTCTGCTTTCACGCTCCTCTCGAATCCTCCGCCCGGGTTCCTCCCTATTGTTTACCGGATATTAAACGTCGCGTTATTATAATGCACGTCGGACGGAGGAATCTCGCGCGAAGCGCGTGCAAGCCCATTAGCATCGCTAATGTCAATGTTTCACTTCTATATTTGCATGAGTACCGAGCGAGAACTGCATGCGTTTGTAGATCTTAAATCAATTTTATGCGATTATTTTCTCAATTGCACGCGAGATCTTTGGTCGTACACTTTCTCTCATTGTTAGATAATACACATTGGAACAATTTGCGTATTTATAGCAGAATAAAGATGGGAATATGATAAACCAGAAATAAAAAAATCAATACGAATTACATAAAGAATAATCAAGATCTATCATAATATAGAATCTATGAAATACCATATTTGTTTATATATTTTTCATTCACGTGCTTATCATTACTTTTTTTTTCAGATAATAGTTCTCGCTAACAAATTTAAGTTACATCACACTGCAACTAAGATTACGTAAGGCAATTTATTTTGTTATGTGACAAAAAAAAAGAAATACGACACAATTCAGATCGTAAGACCGACAGCAAATTTCATGGGTCAACTTTCTTTTTGCAATAAAGTGGAACGCGGATTTCGTCAGAGAGGCAAGAGATACACGATCACGTAGAAGGCGAGACTCAAGTACGAAGATACATAATATTTTACTTACGCTTCGCAATATGGCTGTTTGTTGAAACCTTTATACGTCCGCATATTCAGGGTCATGCCGCAGCCCTGGCACTTGAAACATTGTTTGTGCCATATCTGTAACAAGGAAACGTTGTTATTAACATTCCATGTCGATTTGTCAGTCTTACACAGTTGCGAAACGAGTAGCACGAAAAATTGGAAAAAATAAAATAAAATATATAATACAGAGTTGCAAACTTCGAATTTCAAATCAATACAAAAACGCAATTCACTATGAGTCACGATCTGATATCATATTATACAGTATATTTTCTCTCAACGATTACATTAATAAATACTAAATTAACGTTTTTGTTAGTACAAACAAATTCTCGTTTTAGGAAATCTTGATTTGATTAAAAATAATCTATTTAATTTGACATTTTCTATTTTTCGAATTTATAAGTATAATAAAACTTTCATAAAAATAATTTTATATACAAAGTTGCATTACATTGCAATAAACATCGGCGTAATAATGATTAATATTATTGATGATAATAGTAACGATAATAACTTGCGTTTTTATCCGAATTGTTATAAATTCTATCAATGTCTTATGATAATGACATTAATACACAAGCAATAGGATTTTTAAAATAATCGCATGAGAATAGTAATTATGATAATCGTATTTTTATCAATGTAATATCTTAATGAGATATACATATCGTATTTAATCACCGAAATTATATAATAATTTGATAATTTGTTTTGTTGAGAAATTATAACACACGCAACGTCGGCAGTTTTGATGTGATAAAAAATAAATTTTATCTGAAGTTTCCAAGTTTCGGTGTGTTAATTAGTATACCATGACAAGAATGAATTTAATCAAATTATTTGCAGATTATAAATTTTCCAGCTGATATTATAAATAACTGCGTGTAATAATAAGATATACGCATATCGTAAAATCATTTCGCGATCAAGATAAAATGACGGAAAATGTAAAATAAAAATATAGAAAAAATAAAAATTAATTATTCTGCTCTGAGATGAAAAATTAAAAGAAAATTAAAAGAAAAGAAAGAGAGAGATTTTCGAACCATTTCGTCTTACAGGTAGAAAAAGATGATCTTGATGACCTTTGTCTTATTATTAGCTACCGATATCTCTATAAATCATTATTAATGACTTCTTGCATTTTGCTTCGAAAGATAATCATATGCCAATAACAATGCACTTCGGTTTGATTCGCGAAATTTACGAGTTGATAAGGGTAAGAAATATGATTGTTTAATATCCAAGATAAGATCTTGCAGACGGGTTAATGGTATTAAAAGCGCAATTATAAGGCTTCCCCTCCCTTCTATGGTTCTTAAAGACGAAGAAGTTAAACGGTATTTAGTTAGATCTCGAAATGGCTCTCAGCCTTACCGCATTATACTCGATCTGCCATTGATAAATAGGGTACATGCAGCTCGCGTATTACGATGCAACGCAAGCATCGGTCAAATGTGTCTGTTACAATCTAGCAGCTGTGCGTAATCATCCACTTATCATTTTTCTCACAAACATTACAAGCAATATTAAAACGCTTCGAATAAAATTAAGCGATGTAAAATATTAGAAGAGCATAGGAAGATCGTTTATCAGTTTTTCTGATTTATTTTTGTGCAGCAACTTTAATCCAAGATTTAGCAATATATATACCGTCAACATTTTTTCTAATAAGCTAAATATCAGTATTTTTTGACTGACAGTTTCTATCGCGATAAATTTTATTCTTTATTTAATAATCAACATTGAATAAATATATTCACAATATACATTTCTATTTTTCATTATATAGACTTGTAAATTCAGATAATACAAAATATTTATTCTTTAGATTTTTTAGGATATTATCTCTGTTCTAATTTTGTAATCATAATTATTTGTTCTAAATAGTGTATATCATCCAAACTAATTTTTTTATAATTTTTTCTCGATATCTTTTTCATTATAATATTATTAGGTTACAATTAAATCTAAGTCGGTATAGAGCAATTGTTACGAAAAGATTTTCGACTGCAAATATATGGGTTTAAAGATCCATAGTAATGAACTTTATTTTAATTAAATGAAGAGCACACACGTATGGTTTTATTCACTGCGTCAACAGCTATATATATATTAAGTTAATTTGCACAATCGAAGGCCATCATAGTTATATCAAAATTCTCGACAATCGACAAGGCCGTTCTCAGGAATCGATAAAGGTTACAGATCGCAAGAGAACGCAATCGAAGACAGTCTGATCTTGATAGTTTAAGCATAAGATGATCATTACTATAAAATCACTTGAACTTTGAAACCTTTGTTTTCATGTTAGAAAACCAAAAATTAACTTCAAGCTGTTTGATATCTTTTTGCATAACAATAAAATAAATTAGTACTATGAAAATAGTACATAAATTAGTACAATGAAAAGTTGTGTAACGTTGAAGAATTTCGGAAAAATCACTGTGAAAGACACTCACTAGTTACGCTTCCATTAAATTTTACAATTGCGAACAGTCCACGATTTTCTCATAGGACTTCCTTTCCGTTACAAAATAGCAAACAGGAAACTGAAAGGCACAGCACAACATGTTTTAACGATCCTTTCGAAAGCCGCACGTATAAGAGAACAATAGTGAGGGCAAACAAAGTGGATCCATAAAGCGATCTCGTGAGAAAACTTTAAATTAGATTTTATATAACAATTAGATTTTAAATAACAATAGCCCTTAGGTATTTCATTCAATTAAAAAAAAAATATCTTAAAGAAAGAAAAGACTTCTTCGCCAGCACAGATATCAATAGAAAAATAATTATTCTTATTAGAATAATATTAGTCAATAATTATATACGCGATAGTCGATTACTTCAGCGCTATCTTATTTTAAAATACCGGAAGTTAAATCGAGGCGACAAAGAAATACAATTTTAATCGTATCGATGCAGTGCAAAATTAAAACGTTATCCAGAATAAAGAGTTTCACCGGAACAATGAAACGTATTATACATTTTTAATTTCGTAAAATACTTATCAGTGCATAGCCATGTATTAAATAAAACATCGAAAGAATGTCTTTCTTTTTTATGAAGCGTGGCACGTATCAGTTTCTAGACAGTGCACAGACCAGGTCGTCGATGTCAATTCACGAGACGATGCTGGAATGCGATACCTTTTATGGTATACACGATCGAAATATGTATATTGCGATTACATTATTAGTAGGATTGTTCGAAATGTGTTGTAATTATGTTTTAGCATAAGAAAAAATACAAGTTGAAGATGTGATGTAAAAAATATAAATATTGTGACGTAATTAATTTAAATTTTTATCACACTAAAAAATAAAGAATTACAAATCAAATACAGAATAATCAAATTATATTTTACACCATTATAATTAATTTGTAGAACTTTAGTGCCAAGCAAAATCAAATATATATTATTTTATTATATTTAAATAAAACACGTATTAATTATTTTTATACAAATTAAATTCTGAAAATAATCTTTATTTTATCACTTTTTTATTAAAAATGTTATATTTAAAAATCTACAAACTTCATGAAATAAAGCAAATTACGAATTATTAAATAAAATCTGTTTAGAAATTTTGTATAAAGAAGAAATTATATTTGAAACACGAAAATACATTTTTGTTTAAAAATTGAGGAAGAATGGAGTGTTTAAATCGGGACACACTGTCATCAACAGTGAAAGTTCAACTATGTAGTGAATTGTAAGTGGTAGTCGGTAGAACAATGACAACCGCATGATGATCTTAAATAACCTTTCTAACAAGCTAAATATTAAATAATGCGTCATAGCAGATACACGAGTACAAATTACTTGCTTTATTTAGTAATTGATAATAATTATAATTATTATAATTGAATTAAACACAACAAAAATATCTCGTTCTAATCGGTAGGAAATATATAAAAAGTCAGAGATTTTAATTGTTACTTTAAAAATTATTCGAGTATCGAGATATCTTCAAACTTAAATCAATTATTATCTAAAGGATACTATAATTTGACAAAAATCTTATAATTCGTGATCAAAAATTAAAATAAAAAATTAAAAGTATTAAATCATTAAATAATCCCTCATAGATCTCTCTTTGTCTTACATATTTGTTTCTGATTCGAATTTACTTATTATCGCAAAATTATCGCATTAGTAAAAGCGGAGCATTATTGAATTATTTCTTCGGTTATTAGTGCAATTCTGGACAAGATATACATCATGAAACTACTGTAGATTAGAACTGAATCATGTGTGCGCATCATTTATAAAAAAATTGTTATTGAACAAGAATAATCTCATTTTTCCCGCGCGTGTTTAGAGAATTAACGCATGGAATGTGTATCTCTGTATGCAATCATTATATTCACGCTTCGCAATCGACAGAAACAACCGGATACCACGCCGCATCGTTCGCATAGCAGAAATATTTAACGACTGAAAACCAGTGGATCTAGAAAAGTGAGAGGAGGTCCAGTCATTTAATCAGATTGTAGATAATTGAATGCAAAGAGCGCAATGATATAATGAATAAATTGAGAATCCAAAGTGCTTGTTTGATAGCAATAACAATTTTAAAATAATACAGCTCAGAATATTATTACCTTTCCTTCTCTCTTTCTTTTGATAACTAAACGCATCATTGATAAACTGATAATCCCGTTCGTATAAAATAAAATGCAGAAATCTCGTTCGTATAAAATAAAATGCAGTATGAAAATTTTAAACTACTTTGACACAAGTGCAAATTTGATTTCACTAAGAAATACATAATTGTAATCCATGGAACATTTTATCGCGATTTCCTTTAATGATAAAAAAGCAACAGGTTGGAATCGACTTCATCTGTTATAATCGTGTAAGTAAAGCCTATGCAATGAAGATTCGTTGCAGTTTCGCTGCAAGTCGAACACTGCATATATACATAAATATATTCGCAGATACCGAATAAATTATCATATTACCATCATATTATTTTACATATATGTATATAAAATAAAACGCAGCACATGTCTTTTATAATATCTGATTATATATATTTAAAGATTCCAGGAAATATTTAATA